AGAAAAATCTCTCATATTTTAAAATATCTAAAAACACGAAATCAATTGTAGCTTTGCATTGATTATGATTATATGCATATGTACAAAGAATAAAAACAAATAATTTTATAAAAAAAAATTTGTAAGAGAAAATAATAAAAGAAAATGTAAATATTTATATAAATAAATAAATATCTTATCAGTAAACAAAAATTGTAAAAGAAACAGACAAATTAAAGTTGTAAAAAAAATTTACGTTGTCATTAACAATCATCCCTTGTGGGGATCGAACCCACGACCTTTGGATTAGAAGTCCAACGCGCTATCCTCTGCGCCAAAGGGACTCGCTGTAAAAATTTTTCATAATAGTATACTTGTGGTTCAAATTTTTATTACGAAATATAAAATTTATATTATAAATTTTTTAACATTTTTCTTTTAAAAAATTACAAAAATAAAAAATAAAATAATAGTACAAATATTTTAAATCAAGTTTAGAAATTTTAAAATAATTTCTAACCTATCATTGTTAGATCATCACGGTTAGTTTTGAATATATAGTACTAAATATATAATTCGTGTATACTTCACTTTTTGTCTTTTGAACAAATGAGAAATTCACCATAATATTTAAGATCCATTGGTACCAATTTATGCAATAATCTGATTATATAAATTATAAACATTTTCTGCGCATTTGATTACATTGATCTCAAACATTATAATATAGTATGTAAACATCATGTAAGTACTTACGTACTTGAATGAATTGGCTGTGACTTGTATTTAATTTCGGGTGAATTCAAACATTTCCACAAATTATTATATGTAATATATATTGTTTATTGTTATATATGTATTTATATGTGAAGAAAAAATTGTTACTTACATATGTTGCTTTATTTCTGTAAAATATTAATAAATAAATAGAATAAAGAGTAAAACAGCTGTTTAAGATTTCACATCATATGGATAACGTACTACTAATATAAATAAATTATATGTATACGTGTACATTACATCGCATTTATTTCTAAACATGAAATATTCTTATTATCTTAATATTTAGAATCGATTTTTCAAAAATGTTTCATATTATGATATTATTTATATACTTATATAAGTAATATTATGTATAATGTAATATAATTTAATTTACAATATATGTAAAATATTTAAACCAATATATAATTGTTGTTTTTTAGAAATTTTTTTTTCACTAAATATAGAATCTCTGAATTTGCTTTTTATTTTTTATTTTTAAAAAATCAATTCATTTCAATTATATCGCATATTACTATTTTTAAGACATTTTTTTTATTGATATTATGGATTGAATAATATTTAATTTTCTTTTTGCACTTTATGACTATAATTATTATATTAATAATTATATTCAATGTAAATATTCAATATCATTAAAATATCAATTCAAGATATTATTTTTTTAAAGAATCTACATATATATAAATATAAAAAAAAAGCATAATGTGATCTGCTAATATCTTTTTATTTAAAAAAAATTTCTACAGAATAGATTGAATAAAATTATCTATTTAAAGACTTATTTAAAATTATTTCGTGAACTTGTTTATTAATACATAGCGTATCTATATATATATAATAAAAGATTTCTATCATATATTTTAGCATGTTCTATATCTTAATATATATTTATAAGAATAATGACTGAAATTTTCTGGCTCTATTTATTTAAACTTATTTTAATTTTATGTTTGAATATTTATAAGTTCGAAATATACATTTAATGATTTTATCTGCCTATTAAATTTGTATTCTAAGAAAAAGCTTTTATTAACGTAATGATTTATGAAAAAAATCATATTGAAAAATTTTATTTATTTGTAGTATATATACAAGATGAAAAGTATAACGAAGTATAAGTATTATTGTAATAAATAATGCTATATATAATAGCTTATTATATATAATAAAAAAAGAAGTAAAACTTTTATACGTAATATAATTGCTTTGATTGCTTTGATTGTTTTATAATCCATTAGTTCTAGACATTAATTAGAATTTGTTTCTTTTACGAAAAAATCATTTAATGTAATTAAAGTATCTTCTTTTAAAGAAAGAGAAGAAAGATTTTTTAAAACGTAATAAAATTATTTCAGAAAAGAAAATAAAGAAAAACACGTTATTCAAGAAGATATATAAATATAAAAAGTACAAAACGTATCAGATAAGATATTCAAGATTGTTTTATTAAATTATGAGACATTAGTAACTTCAATTAAAATAAATATTACTAGTTTCATCAATTTATTTCATTAGACAAGTTCAAAAATTCGATAGAAATATTTCGAATGATGTTTGAAATCAAGGCGAGAAAGAAAACGCCATTGTTAGACAATGTTAGCCAGATCCACAATGAATAACGACCTTGTCTGTATTGCGACGATAATCTGGATTGTTTTAGATGCGTGAGAATTACCTATCAGAATAACTCGCTAGTGGAGTGGTATAATGGTAGTCCGATTTCGAGCCAATCGGAGACGAGATGGAAATCAATGTAATTATAGAAGAACCAACGAGAATTCGTTGAAGACGCGCATGCGCATATCCAGTTTCACATCGAGCTATCTCTAATTTCCTTTGCGTGATTTCTATTGTCAACATTATGATTATTGCAAATACGATGGTTTTATTTGATAATTATATATAACCGTTGAAATAAATATATTTATATGTAGTATTATTTTTCCAGAACTAATTATATTCAAACAAAACAATGCATATTAACGAAATAATAAAACTAAAATGTATTCCTATATTTTTTATTTTTATATAGTCATGTATTATATTATTATTTATATCATTTATTTTATTATTATATTATTAATTTCATAATTTTACTTGTTATACTCTATTATATCTATATTTTAAATAAAAATAATATAGTAAATAAAAACAGAATATTATAATAGTATATCAATTTTTAACTTTATTTTAAAAACCATAGAATTTAAAATTATAATTCATCCATTTGAATATTCTTGAAAAGTTTAGATATTATCCATTTTGAAATATAATTGAAAGCAAAATATATAATTTGAAATTCGCTTCGATAACATTGTAATTAATTATGATTGTATGATTATTACAACTATCTAGTTATAACAATTTCTATTATAAATTATATAAAAACATTTAAATAATTATTTTATTTTATTATTATACATTTAAATAATTAAATAAAAAATAATAAAATATATTTAATTTTAGTTTTAATTTTATAAAAAGATATTTGTAACAATATAATAAATTTAATTAAAATTCTTATTTTATTACATTGATTGATCATCATTCTTTTATTATAATTAATCAATCAATTAAACAATAATTTTATTTTTACGATAAATATCGGCTAAAATTTTTATATTGCTTAATCTGTTGTTTAAAAATAAAATATACCATAATACTATTTATAATACAAATATCTTCATAAAATTATTCTGAATTTCTAAATTTTTTTTTTTTATATAGAAAGAATAACGGAAAAATTGATGAAACCAGTGATTAAAGTAAGGATTTAACAAAAATTGAACCAATGATACGTGATAAGAATCCGTAAGTCTCCCCCTAGGGGTTGAAATCTTCGATTGATGAATGAGAAAAGAATTCCTGCATAGATTGTTCAATGTGCGGTTGACCGTGAATGTACGAGATATTGCGAGATTAATACTTTTCAGAATCATTCATGTTTAATGAAAATGTTTATTTACCAAATCATACATGGAAACTATAAATAACTCGATATACAATACTTATGACGTACAATTTTAATAATTAATTCATTTTATTGATTAAATTTTTTAAATTATTTACATTTCTATTTCTATTTTATCTCTAACAATTGTAAAGATGAAAAATTAATACAAATGCATATTTTTTAAAAATAAAAAGATTATTTACAAAAGAAATTACAATAAATATCTATATAGCAATAGTTTTTTTAATTTTCCAATAACATATGTTTTTTAATAATATTAATGATATCAAAAAATTAACAAGTTGCAAATGATTACATTATTCATAACATTCTTTTACAATTATACATAAAGTCGAATAATCAGATGATTTTCAATAAAAAAATTAGTTTTTGAATAGCATTCTAAAAGACAGTTTCAATATCTTGCAAATAAATAAAAGTCATTTTAAAAGAAAGTAAAATAACAGAAAGATGGAGCATTTTGGCATTAGAATGCATTATATATAATTGTATATAAGTTGCACAAAATTTTATAAATAATAGAATATTTAAATATATACAAGTATGATAAAAAATGAAATCGTGAGAATTGTAGAAAAAATACAGGAAATCTGTACAATACAAAAAACAAACAATCCAATACATTCATACATATTAATAGCGAAAACATTAATATTAGAAGGAATTTAAGATATTAATGGCTTCAATCTAAAACTGTTTAATTGTCATTCATGCTCGTTAATGCGTATCTGAATTTCACGGTGCAATTGTAAATAATAAAGTCTGTTTGAAATGTTTCTCATCCACTGGCCACAAACGTCTGCAGGTGCTCTTTCGCAAAGGGGCGTTACAACGATGACAGCGAAATTATCTGAAACCGAAGGGATGGGGGTGGTACATCCACGCATAGTGGGGAACATTGATAGGGGTAGGGAGATACGAGAGAGCACCCCGAGCATCCCTTCTCTCTATTTTCATACTAACCATGAAGCGAGAGAATGGACGTTGGAGGCAAACTGACTCAGATACGTGTGCAACCTCGTACCGAGTCATTCAGTGGTCTACTTTGAGGTATTTTACACGCAAGTGTCGTTCCAAGTGTTCCGGCAATATCGTCCTAACTAACTTTACTCGTTCACGTGAATGATATCTGTACTTATGTACATATATGTGCATACACTTGCGCGTGCGCGCAAACGTGTACTTTCATAAGTTTTCGCATAATTATTCTATTATCTTTAAACGCGTAAAGTTTGATTATATAAGGCGTAACATCGAAAATAGATGTGCAATTACGTGAATTTGACAAATTTGTTTGCCACGCCTAGGATAGGGAGATTCAAAGTGAGCAGGATTAAAATTTTTGGTTAAAAAGTTTTTTTGCAAATTTTGATTTTCGATAAAGACGAAAGAGTTTCGTGTAAAATGGCAAATTTAACAACGTCGATCGGGTTAATGGGATATGAGAATAAGACGAAAAGCTCAATGCAAAGAATAAAGATGATAATCGTTTAATACGATTTGTTTCGAAACTTTTTTTTTTTTTATTATAATTTCGATATACTTTTTGTTTTATCCTCGAAGAGGTAAATCCGTAACGGTAGAATTTGATCGGTGCTAAATGTCGACGAAAGCAGAAGGGCCATCATCTCCACGACAATTTTTTGCCCGAATTTATGGACATCTTGAAGCGAAAAAAGTTGATGGTACCGAGAAAAATGATGAGAACAGGACTGAACCGAAATCAAGTTTTGAACTTTCCTCGAATATTCTTCTTTACAATAGAAGCACGTTAGATGCGGATAATTCTTCGAACGATGAAGTTATACAAGTAAGAAGTAGCTTTTCTCGTTTCTTACTTGTCGTTTTGATGTTGAATTTTTATTTTAATTCGTAGAAAGTATCAAATTTATACTCGTTACTATTGATTAATATTTTTAATAATAATTTTCTTTTTTTCTATTCAAATATGTATGTGTATAATCTTGACGAAATTTTTTTCCTATTATTCATACTGATTTCGAAATATATGAATCGTATTATTTAATGACAATTATGAACATTTATTTTTTAATGTACAATCATTCTCAAAAGTTTCCATACATTATATATACGAAAATCATTTGCGTTAAAATAAAATTTCATGAAATTTCATTGTTAATATGCGTATATTTTATAATATATTTTATAATTAGACTCTTTTGAAATGAAAATAAAACATAAAAATAAATAAATAAATAAATTAGAAAATTATTTTTTTCTTATTTGAGAAATAATTTATTTTTAAATGTTTGATTGATAATAGAAAATAAAATATAACAAGTAATAAAATTTCTCATAACTTCATCTTATTATCAAATTATCAAAAGAAATGCGAAAAGAAATATATTTAAACCATTTAGATAAAGAAAAATGGCTTTGGTAGAAATAGAAATTTTACTACAAACGATCAATATTTATCTTTCAATTATATTATTATTCAAGTAATATCATTTAATATAAAATAATAATACAAATAAAAAATAAAATATAAAATTTTCTTGAATAATTATTCAAATAACGCGCAAAATTCAATTTTACGCGTTAAAAAATAAATATATGGTTTATTTTAATAAAAAAAAACTTTTACTGAATATATGAAAACTTTTGTGAATTGTTATAAGAATTTAAATTCGTCAAATATTTCTCTAAAGAAAGTATCGATAAATTATAATAAATTTACAATAATATAATAAATTAATAAAATTTACAACGATAGAGATTATTAAATTCAAAAAATTATTCATTATTTTAAAACTGTTTTATTAATTTATTTAACGAATAAAAATCTTTTTACATTTGAAAACGTAAAACGAAAATTCATTGTTTTAATGCAATAACTTCATATACAGGTAACAGGTATAAAAGAAAAATCCTCGGATCGGAGCGGAAAACAGAATACCAATGAAACAAATATTTTAATGAACGAGAAAGAAAAGAACTCGAATTTTTTTAATTTAAGATTGCCATTATTTCACGAACTTCATCAATCTAGACCAGCCAACCATCCTGTATTCTTATCTCAAGTTACATATCCATCTGCGCTTCCGCCACATTTTCATAATTTACCATATTTTCCAACTTCGGAACACCATTTGCAAGGATTTTCGGCTTTCTGTAAGTATTATTTTCTTTTTTAATGAATATCATATTTAGAATAAATATCATAAATTGGAATCTTAATTACCATTTCAAAATATAAATGTAACTTTAAACTCATTAACTAACTAATTAACTAATAAACTAGTATTAAGTATATTGTGTAAATACATAATAATCTAAAAGTATTTTCTTTTATATAAAAGATATAATAATACATTCCATAACTTGAAATTTATTTTTGAATCATTGGTACAGAAAAATGTTATTATTCATACGTGAAATACTGGTAAATTCTTATAAGTGAGTTTCTAAATTGTGAATATTAAATTTGATATTTTGATGTGACATTTTTATAATAATTCATAATATTTATTATGATATTAAAATTTATAATATTATTTATAATATTAAAATTATTTTTTTTAAAATTGTAAATGTTGCGATAAATCAGTAATTACATATTTATTAAAAAAAAAGTACATGAACAAAATTTTATTTTTTATATTTATATTCGATTTATTTTTCCATATATAGAATTTATTTTCTTTTGACAAAAATAAAATGTTTACAAGAACATAAGAAAACACATTGTTTAAATCTAGTTTTATGTTTAATATATATAATTATTTTAAATATTCAGATATAAAGGAATTTTTATGGTTTTAACATGTGAAATTTATTTTCTTGTTCGAGATATTCGAATTAGAGAGTATTATTATTAAAAAGCTATAAACAGCTAATTTTTATGTTTGTTATTTTAATTAATTATAAATAAAACTTACAAATAATCTTTTTTATATTTTTCATATTAAAATCATTTAATCAATGAAAAGTAAATCTAAAAACATTCAAAATCTGAATTATTCTTAAAAATATTATCACGTGTATATAAATGAGATTGAAAGTATTGATTAATTACAGGATACCTTTTATTGATTATGGCAAATCATATCTTGTATACAATTACTAATTTAAACAATATAATCATGAATTTAATATTGCTTTTCAAAATATCATGGTACACTTTTCGAATGAGGATATTTTTAAAAGGATTATTTGCTTAATTATTCAAAGTTCAATATTTATATCAGTGCTTTCAGTTCTGTAAGTGAAACGAAAAATAGATGTAAATCGATATAAATATAAAATTTAACGAAATCTAAAATGTATGAAAAACAAACTGTATTAATCGAAAACTTGGATTATGAATATATTTGCGATTATAAAAATATTCATATTAAATATCATTATTAATTACCAATTAATTTTTATTGCATATTTAATAAATATCATGCATATACAAGTATTAAAAAATATAATTCATGAATTTATAATATAAAATAAATATCTATATATACGTATACAATGTAAAATGTTGAAATTTATAACATGATAATATTCAAATCAGAGAATTGCGGATCAATATCAATGTATACCTATGTGTTACTGGACATTGTTCAATATGTAACTATACAAACCCTAATCGTTTGTTAAATTTACTGTATTATGTCTTGGCATATATTCTATTCAAATGAAAGGAAAATTTTACGTGAAAAATATATTTGAGGATTCTTGAATTGATAAATTTCTTCTATTGTCCTCGAAGAATGGAAAAAACCAAAAATTAAGGATGATACATTCAAAATCTCTAATATTTAAAAAATTTGAATATCCATGAAAAATATAAAAATATTTTCGATGAAAAAATCTTAAAATAGTTTCTGACATACATAATTGAGTTTATAATACGTTAAAATTTCTTCAGATTATCACATGACAAACAGAAAATAAAGCAAATAACGAATAATCCAAATTATCTTAACTACCTTTCAATCGAGATAGAGCGTAAAATCTAGTATAAGATTTTTCTTTTGATAAGCTATCGAATGATCTATCAGATAAATATGGTGTTTAGGGGTTCTTTTAGGGATATCCGCTATACCAAAATTATTTACGCATTAAATACTTCAATTAAAATAAACAAATTTTATTTTGCATTTTGAACTTATTTTTTTATATATAAAATAACTTAATTTGTTCATTTTTAATTAAAAATTTATATATTCGATATATTTTTTAAATTCAATTTTCTCGAAACCAGCGTCCAAATGAAATAATTTTATTTTATTTTCCAGTAATTTTTATATAAAAATAATCTCCTTTAGGTTTCAATATACTATATATTATATTTTTTTTAAGAAAATAAATATTATTTTACGGATACATTTATACACTACAATATATTCGTTAAGTATATTGTGCTAAATACAAAAATTCTTAAAACTCTTTTCATTTAAAAGATATAATTAATTAATTATTATTGTTATTATATTGCGTTAAATTGCTATCTACAACTATAAATCAAAAAGAAGATATTGAAATTTTAAAATAACATATCAAAAAAATATAATAAAGATGATCAAGAAATTTAAAAATTATTAAAAGAATTATTTTCGAAAAAATGAAACGTATGATTTTTTAAAGTTTAACATCTTTTACAAATAAAAAAATGATATTAAATTTTAAAACTTGATTTGACTTTCTCAGATTGAATTAAATGATAAACTACACAATCTTACTGACTTCACAATTTGACTAAATAATACACGTATACACTCTATGTATCAAAATTTATTGCTATGTATTATTATTATTGAAAATTTGGCAACAATAAACGAAATTGTTTTCTCTTTCAATTTTCATACGTTTCTTAAAATCGATATAATTTGTCGCTAATGTATATAGGTATACATATTTAAACATTTTATTCAGTTCCTGAAGCTTTTCACTGATAAGTGTTATTACAGCAACATGTACAATATAACACAATACAGGTATACGCACACGTTTGAATGGATTTATTCCGCTTCGCTACCTCGTACCGATGTTGTGATGAGATTACTGGACGCAGTTGGCCGCATTTCAATGTGAAATATACCTTGCTATATTTCTGCAAACCCAGTGTTACTCGCCTGCCCCTTAAGCCGTTGTCACGGCAAGGCAGTCCCGAATCACTATCGTGTTAAATGAAAAACAAAAAATAAAAAATAAAAAAAAATAAAAAAAAAATAAAAACAAAAAGGGAAAATTTAAATGAAGATACAATAATCTGTGAAAATACTGAAATATAATAAAGTAAGATTTTAAAAGCTTTAATCTCTCATTTTTTTATATTTGTATTAAGAAATATTTTATGAAAAGATTATTTTATAAGGAATTTGTAAATAAAGAAGTAAATAGATAATGAAATTTAAATAAATTGATAAAAAAGAATATGAATATTAGAGTAAAAGGAAAAAAATCGAAATTTTAACCATATTCTTAAAATATAAACTATAGAAATAAAAAGTGTCACAAAGATATATTATATAATTATCTTATCATTTTTATTGAAATAAATAATATCATATATTATATAATAACATATTTATTATATTTCTTGAGACATATAAAACACCTATATAATAAGATAACTTTTATTCTCAATATAGAGCGCAATAATATAAAATTTTTATTATATTTTAATTTAATATAATAGTCTTTTTATAAAATATATAAATACTTTTCTAACTATTCATAGTATGGATGGTTGTAAAATATATCTATAAATTTCTTTATTCTTCCATCTAGAATTCCATCTAATTCATTAATAAAACATAATATTATACCGAATTTAAAAATTCCAAAATAAAAATCATTTTAATATTAAGATATGAATATTATGTTATTTATTATGATTTACAATTGAAAAATCAAAATTTTTGCACTGAATATAAAATACATTGTGATATAGATATACTTCGAAATATTATTAATATTAAAGAATTATCTTTACATTAAAGCAATTGTCTTTACAGTAGCTCGCAAGAGAAGAAAAGAGGGAAGACCACGAAGGCAAAGAACAACTTTCAGTGGTGAACAAACATTAAGATTAGAAGTTGAATATCGTAGAGGAGAATATATTTCTAGAGGACGAAGATTTGAACTTGCCACATCTTTACACCTTACAGAAACCCAAATTAAAATTTGGTTTCAAAATCGGCGTGCCAAAGACAAAAGAATAGAGAAAGCACAACTTGATCAATATTATCGGTAATTACATGCACTACATATATATCAAATTATTATTTAACTCATTTAATTGTATTATTATATTATATTAAATCGTAAGTAAAGTAAGCATTTATACAATTTCATTTTTTTTAAATTAATATATTAAAAAAAATATAATATTTTATATTCCCTTCTTTTCTACCATCTTATATTTTATGCGACAACGATATAGCATCTTATAAATATAATTTTTTAATTAATTTTACAAAATTAATATATTCTTTTAATTTTAAATGAATTATATTACACAATATTCCTTAATTTGTAAAGATATTTCGAAAACTGATATAGTATCTAAAAACAATGAAAAAAACAATGATTTGATTTTATTAACGAGATATAGTGAATTTTATATTTTGCTATTTTATTACTGAATAAAATGATTAATTTGTGTTTCAATGCTTTCATTCTATTATAAATGTAATTTTTGATATTTTTTCAATTACAACATTTATTCGATTCTTTAGGATAGCCTGATTTGTTACACTTCAATCTATTATTATCAAAATTATTAAAAAAAAAAATTTTCTATCATACAAATATATAAGAAAAATGATTAAGATTAGATATTAAGTGATAAAAAAATAGATTGCAAAATAGTACAAAATATATATATATATAATATAATCAATATAAATAACTATATTAAAAATATTACATGTTCCAGGAATTTCGCCATTTCTAATGGAATAAATTTGCCAATTTATGGTAGAAACGGATTCTGTGAATTTTGTTTTTATAAAAAGACATTTGGATCTACTACTAGTCATTCATGTGCTTCAATGAATTCTGTTACCGGAACTTTTCCAAAACAACAATGTAATAAAAGTGAAAATGATATAGATAGTACATCAAATATACTATTTTCTGCTTGAAACATCTGGAATAAGATTTGCTATATTTTATTATAATCATTTGTATTTGTTTTATCATGTATATTCAATATTAAATTTTTTAGTAAATTAAATTATTGGAAAAGCATTGTAAAAAGAGTAATGACAAAAATGAAAGAAAGATTTATGAAAACAGAAAATTTAAGAAATAACAAAGAATTTTAAATGACAATTACATAAATAATAATTGATAAATAATTAAAATATAAGTAAATATATAAATAATAAATGTATAATAAAAATATTGTAACAAATGTAAATATATATTTACTTATATTTAAGCATAATATATCAATTCAAATAATCCTTAAATATGCATTGAAAAGCTCATTAAAACGTTTTTATATATTGGCAACATATATTGCTACATATTACTAAATTATAATGTAATTGTAATTTCTGATAATAAATAATATTAAAATAGAAAAAGAGATATTAAATTTATTTTCCTTTAAACCAACAAAATGAAAACTTTTTCTATATAAAATAATACTTGATATTATCATTGAGAAAATTATTATAAAATAAAAATTATTATTAATTACCAAATTATATTATCTAAACTTGTATACATAT